GAGACATTTATTTCTCATTTGGAAAAGGTACATTTTATCTGCCTACAAACAAAAAATACCTTAGTGTGCAAAACAAATCAATAAATATGCTAGAATGGCTTGTTCTCTATTACAACATAATACTTTTAATATATTACCCAATTGCAAAAATTTTATATATTATTTTGTTGTCTAAGGTTATAAGGCTAATATAATTCAATTTTCATTTTTATCAAAGATTAGTGTATAATCATAACATAAATATATAATATGTTTTACGTAGTAGAGTGTTGCTGCAGCTATATAAGTAGTACAGTTGTAGCACAAATGGGAAGGACCACACTCTCACAGAATATTAGCATAAAATAGCAACTCAACGCTGCTGTGTTTCGTATGGTAAGTGTAGAGCACGGGAGGCCCTTTTGAGGAGCTGAAATTTAATTTTAGGTAAAAGTATCCCAGTATCCCATACCTTATTCTATGACATTATCAGCTTGTCAAACATACTTTCACAATTATTAAAATTAGGTTGAACAGTTTAACGGAAGAATAGAAATTTATTTAATTTTTAAATAAAATTATTAAAGTAACATCAGAACTATTGTGACCTAAATAGTCCTTCAATGCATGAGTGAAAAGGCTATTGTGTGTAACAAAAGCCTTTTCCCTCATGCTTTGAAGAAGATTTGTAAAAAAGTGTGATTTGTCACCTAAGGCATGATCACTGCTTACCATCAGGTGGAATTGAGAAGTGCTGGACAAGTGATAAACATTAAAAAAAATTTACAATAGACTTCAATATAAATCATTAAGGATAACTCAAGAACTATTGGCCAGACCTTGATCAAATTAATATGGGACCACATGACAAGCACCAGCTTTACACACAAAAAAAAATACTTTGAATTAAGTACCTCCTTCTTTTTGAAGTTGGTAGAAAAAGTAAGTAAGCAATATTATCAATCATTTTTGGTGATAGAATAAAATAAATGTTTTGGGTTTCCTATTGTTGTAGATTTGGAAGCATCCTCTTAAGCCTTTTAAATTGTTTTATATTCTGATTAATTTGTTTGGGGTGAATCCCATGACTGATGATATCATTGTTATGAAGCTATGTTTGTGCCTAAACGTTTGGTTGGTTTTATTTTGCACAACTGGGGGTGATGAACTATCATCCAGTCTATCTTATAGTATATATAAAACAAAGTCTCTTCCCACCATCTGTACGCTTAGATCTTTTAAACTACACAACAGATTTTGATGCGGTTTTCATCAATAGACAGAATGATTCAAGAGGGAGGTTTATATTTATAATACATGCATATTATATATTATATAATTCTTCTGTCTACGTGTATGCGACTTGATTAGAAAATGGTTTAGTCACAATTGGACCCAGTAGGTTGTGTTGTTGTGGAGATCCAGAAATCAAGCATGCGAAGCCGGGGTGGATCGCTAGTCTTATAGTACATGAATGCTGTTGATCCATAGACAACTTAACCTTAATCTATCCACTATCAAAAATTGTAATGCAGATGCATTGTCTTCCCTGAGGGCAAGATAAAATGCTTCATTACCAGTAGGAAGACTTGACAATGCTTATAAATCACCATATGCTACAATAACATTATTCTGCAATTTTTCATTGTTGCTATTCTGCACATGTGAGAATTGAACTTCATTACTGTTCTATAGACATTACTGGAAATCCATGTATCGAACGATTTTTTGTATTTAATAATTTCCCTTAAAAATAAATATACGAAAAGTGCATTTTGCTTTCAAAATTTGTATCCAAGGAGTGATGAAAATGCATAGTGTTAGCGTAAATATAAGAAATCATTAAAAAAGTATAATTAAGTAAATGTTATTTACTTATTATTATTTTGTATTTATGTTATGTGGACTATTTTTCAAATATTATTACATTTCATTAGCCTATCAATTATGTCATGGGGCGGGGGAGGGGTTTATTTGGCACAGTTGCCATACTAGGAAAGCAGATTAGCAACTGAAGTATTTTCATTACTTTGACTTGGAAAACACTGCTTCCCATCTTTCGGTTCATTTCTTTACATTCTCTTACAACACCCATAATTACTGGATTATCTTATGCTGACATTACATGGCAGTTTTGGAAGAGGTATTCAATTCGAGTGTATGTCCTTTTTTATGTGTGTTACCTCATAACTTTTTTCTAGGTGAACCGATTTCGATATTTCTACTATTTGAAAGCTGGTGCTTTTTGTGCGGTCCTATATAAATTTGATCAAGGTCTGACCAATAGTTTTTGAGTTATCCTAAATAATTTTGTGTACACTTGTGTGGAATTTAGGTTTTTATTTATTGGATAGTTTAAAACTATTTGTGAAATAGTAAATAACTAAACAAAGTAGTGATAAATAGAACTTCTTTTAAAATACCATGGTACAATGGGATTAAATAAGCAAATTCTTGATTTCTGGGTGGCAAGACCTTTTGAGAATAAGTTTTTAACAAATCTATTCCTGTTGTACCTTGTCCGAATGACCAAGTTAGACAACCTAAGTGTGACAACTGCAGCTTAAACTGATTATACCTATGAAAAACTGATGTAATTATTGTCTCATATTCCCCTGTTTTTATAAACAATTTAAGGATTATTTTTATTTATATCTGAACATTGAAAATAAATGAAAACAATCCAAAAAGTTCCAAAGACCAACCAAGAAGTTAAGTCTGTTTGTTGGATGTCTGATAACTGCAGTATAACTGGACAATCTTACTAAATTTACATGGTCTCTTATTTTAAAACAAAACCATGGGAGTAGTAGATATAAGATTATATTGTAAAACTATTTGCTCAAGTGTCATCATCCACATCATCCAAGGAGAAAACAGAAGAATATAAATTTTTGCGGTTTAAATGTCACCTGGATCTGTTTAAAGTACAGTTGCAACAAATAGTACATTCAGCCACATGCCCAATACTTACACTAATATTCTGCAGACTTCCTGGCCGAATATTAGGCAAAAGTATTCGGCCGGGAAGAAAGAAGTGTTTATTTTACAGAGCATTTATCCCCTGAAACTGGGATTGTCTATGAGAAGAAAAAGAGTGAACTACTGCCTGAAAATGAAGAAAAATTAGTCTTTCTGTACCGTTATCTTCCATTTAATTATGATAATTCGAGTGCATTGACATTTATCTAATAGTTCTTTTTTAATTTTTATAATATGAAAGTTGTTGATGATGTACCTATGACTACTTTAATGATAAAAAGAAAATATTTTCATTTTACCAATTATGTGACTTCAATAAATCCTCTAATTTAAGTATTCTGTATATTCGCCAGAATAGGATAAACATAGCTGAATTGGCCGAATACCGAATAGTAGCCGAATATTTGTTGCAAGACTAGTTTAAAGGAGAGTACTAGACATCAGCCAACAACAACCCATCTACAAAGGGTGGCAATTATGTCAAATTCTCTATACAATGGGTGAGGTTTACACCCAGCAATAAATAAGGATGTATGAAGTAGTTGCATTAGAAATGTTATGTAATTAAAAGAAATCATGAAAAAAAATATTATTTTGTTCACAGTAATAGTAAGAGCAGACTATCATACAATAAGGCAAGCAAGAAGCTAGGAATCAGTAAAAAGAAGGAACAAGAGGTAAAATTAAAAATTTTATAAAACCAACTTCAATATAAGTTACTCAATATTAGTGTTTGTCATGTGGTCCCACACATGACAAACACCAGCTTTCAAATAAAAAATACAGTCAAATTGAGGACCTCCATTTTTGAAGTTGGTTGAAAACAAATATGTTCTATATTTAAATAGAATTCAGTTAATCTGCTGAAAGAAAATTACTAAAATGATTTGATAATAAAACTTAATTGCGTATTTGTTCATTATCTAAATATGTGCTAAATAAAATTGTTTTGAACTTCAAATTATCATTTTATTCCTTGAGATGTGCCTTGAATCTAAAATTTTCTAAAATACTAATAGAACGAAGATAGAGGCACATTTTTTTTTAAACATTACTATGTACTTTTAACTATCTAACCTATTGCAACACTTTCCAAATGTGTAGTTGTAAATTAAAGTGGTCAAAGAATATAAAACATATTTATATTTAAAACTTAATATGATTAACAGTTATAAACTTTATTTAAAATGTTATGAAAGTTGTTTTTCTGAAATTATTCCTCTAAACATTTAAAAAATGATTAATGTAATTAGGCAAAATCAATATTATGTGTCTAAGAATTGGAACACTAAAGGACTTCAAGAATTATATAATCATACCAAAGACACAAAAAGGCATTTTAACTAAGAATTGACATGTAAGACATGTAATGTACATTTTGTAATGAAAAACATTAGCAAGTTTTTCATTACAAAATGTACATTACATGTCATGTAACATAATTTTTCTTTATTTAGCTTTTTCATTTGAAAAAATTGCAGAAAACCCTAGGATTTTCTCCTGTATTGTGGATTCACTAAGTGTAAGTAACATAAATTGCACTAGTATAGGCATCCAGGCCCAGAATAGTAGGCATTACAAACACCTGTTTTGTATAGGATTTTAATACATGGTCTGTAACCTAATCTTTACCCACCTTTTCAATGTAATTTTACTATAAAAAAAAAGTAGAAAGTAAAGTCATTCTTGTAATATGATTGATATGCAACAAACAACACATCACATCCACACACCATTAGCAATTCCTACTGATTCTGTGCTATTTATCTATCATATCAATACTTTGTAATATAATAATTATATAGGGAGTTAATCAATTCTTCTAATATGTTTATATATCTTTATTTATTAATATATAAATACCAATATATATTTTATTGTCTATAATTTAATAAGTAACTTACCTATCTAACAAAATAATTTTTTTTATTTTTATTAGCTTAACATCATTAGAGAAAATGATTGTTGATCATATAATATACTAAAAAATCTCAAACGTAAGAACTAGAGAAAGTAAAAAATAAAACTTGGGCACTGACCTTTACTTCTTTTCCGAATTTTACTAGCGTCTACCAAATTCCAATCCACTGAGTCCCTGGCCGGGGCTGGCACAGTGCCTCCAATCAGTTCCACAGAACTACTACGTTTACTACTTGGTCCTGCTTCCGGAACCACTTCTTCAGTATTGTTCACATCTTTCACTGATGGCAAATTGGTACACTCTACTATCTCAACACTATTATCCATATGTCCATTGCTCATGCAGCCATTGACGTGCTCCGTGCGAGCCTTCTTACATGCCACTTTTTTGTGCTTGTGTGCACTCTGCCTCCGTTTCAGCTTGGCCGAGTGGGACGAGTTTCTGGAGCTAACGGGAGAGGGGCAACCACACTCCATGCTGCCCTCCTGGTCGCTGCCTTCGTAATATCCCGACTCGTGTTCCGGTTTCTTGTCAGGCAAGCTCATTTCGGCGGTCGCCATGGTTTAACCCTTCAAAACCATGTAGACTCGGACGGTCCTTCAGCTGCTACACAATTATTCTCACTTTTTATTCATTCGTTACTAATGATAAGCATGTATAGCGATAAATTTCTAAGTTATTTATTTTTCAAACTAATCAGAACATTATTCCAGCGAAAGTAAACACGACACGTAAAATTTCGCGAGCTTACTCAAATGTGATGCTACGTGCACGAAGTTCACTTTAAACAACTCGTTGCAGATGGCGCGGCTGCAGGCTATTAACCAGCCAAATTGAATGTCAATATAACTGTAATGTACACGCCAACTACGTTAAGCCTGTTTAATTTATCCGACTCAAATAACACTTGCGGCTATGTTCACACCATTGAAATGTCAAATGGCAAATAGGAATTTACTTTTTTATTAAAAAAATAACAGCCTCTTCATCGTCCAATTTTGCATAACAAAACACGTAAATCCAAATGCTTTAACTTAAGGATTAACTAAAAAATTCACCGTCATTCGTTAATTCACTGTCATTCGTTCACTTTAACCTTGTACGGTTATGATTGTTTTATTCATAACTTCTTAATTTATTAACTACATACAAAATACAAATGGTCCGGTTTTGTTATAAAATCTAAATTAACTACGAATATTTACTAGAATATAAAGTAAAATACTCGCGCGAATGAGACGCCTCACTCAGCGCGATAAAGTAACTGAATTCGAAAAACGCAAAATAGAAACCGTGCAACTTGCGAGCGGAGGTTCCCCCACTACGAACGATTTACGAGGCCAGAAGCCAGAACCAGAACAGTATAAGTAAAATTAATACACACAAGCACACACATCTTTATAATTATTTCATAAGTTCTTTCTGCAAAATATTTTATAGACAATATTTGACTTACAGACGATAACTAAAAGCGAATTATTATTTTATACATTTAGCTGTATATTAAAAATAAGAATTACTTTTATCTGTTATCTCTTCGTATACTATATAATATGTAGTAGAATTTCATGGACGTAAACAAAACGAGACAAAGGTATCGCTTATCTATCAAGCAGAAAGGGACAGCGAATGTAAGAGTGTAACAAAAGTTTTTGTGTATATCTCTTTCACGATACTTTGTTCAGTAACGAAAAAATGGAATGAAAGAATGACTTTGACTTTGATTACATCAAAGGATTACATTATTTATATCCCAATCCCCATAGCTCAAAGTGCTTATTATCGGTCGGTAATACTTTGTATTGCCCGCATAATAAATTTAGCCTGGCTTGCTTAGTAATGTAGAGGTATGAGATACATTATTATTTATTAGTAATAAAATCTCAGTAAATTTTTAAAAGGTCTATTGCATAAGTAGTGCAGTTATTTTTGAATTGTTAGAAAAACTTAAATAAATATCCTAGAACCTAAATAATCAATAGTTTATTGTTATTTAATCTTAAGATATATGAGAATTTATTATTATAATGATTTTTATAATAATAGCGTGCCAGTCGAACTAACAGTTTCGAAGGTTACGGATGTGTCAACCCTGACCCTTACAGACTAATTATTCTTCACCCTTCTGACCGATTCACTGGACTGGTTGTAATGCTAATTGCTGGTTTGCCCTCAGACATATATAAAAAGCTTTGCCGCAAAAATAAGTCCGAAGTTGCTACGAAGTCAGACGGACTTGAAGGCAGATAAGGAGTCCTACTACCTAAGAAATACATTTTCATTCTTATTTTAAATATAAGTAACCATCCAATGCGTGATAGATAATATTGTACGCTGCGAAGGCTTCTTCATGAGCGCTAAACTGCTGCTGACTTGAACTGCTGCTGCGGCAATGCTGTTTCTCATCAGTAAAGTCTATAACTAAAACACTCAATCTCTACTCAATTTTAAGATGTCGTTAAGTCTCGTGGTGTCACAGTCTCTTTGACTTAAAGTGATAGAGAAAGCATGAGACTTAACGTCATCATAAAATTGAGTAGAGTTTGAATGTTTGGGCATAAGGGCATGTAATAAGGGTGACAAAAAATAACGCAGTCCAACTGATGGTAAGAGAATGCTGTGGCGCATAGACCTACTCTCTCCTCGATTAAGAATCACAATTATAATAATATATTGTCATCCATGGGGCCTAAGATGGAATACTTCGTTAACGGTAATTAGGGTCTTCGGGTCTTGCCACTCACCATATAAAACGCAGCAGCATTATATTGCTATTTAAAAACTCCAATATTCTGTGGAAGTGATGGAAAAAATCATGATTTTTTTGGTTATTTTTTTTTTGTATATTTTGAAATTCACGAGTTGGTAACACTTTTTGAAATAGTAGGATTAAAAGTTTATGAATATATGTATGAGACTGATTAAGAGTAAAATAATTAATACTGTAATAATTACAGTTCATATCTTAAGGTGAAAGCTCCAGGGTAGCCCGCGAAATTCAAATTTCCTTGTGTTTTTTGAATTTGCAGGTCAGGGTCAGGTTGTATGTTTAATAAAATATGATTTGCGACCGTAACGAGTATGTGTTTATAGAATTATTATCATTAAAATCATTAATACATCACTGTAAGTTCATATAATCCCTTTGAATGCGTTTTTCTGGACATAGCCCTACAATAGGACTATACGAACATAGATGGTTGTATTGATGATTATAATGATTATAATTCTGTAAATACATACTCGTTACGGTCGCGAATCATATTTTGTTAAACATACAATCGGACACTGACCTACAAATTGTAAAAAACGTAAGAAAATTTGAATTTCGCGGGTTACACTGGCGCTTTACCTTAAGGGTGAATTTGTAAAAAAAATTTTGGTTGATTTTATTAAGTTTATGAGACTGACAGACCTCATCGCTACGTCTTTGTTGATTTTCTAAAGTTTATGAGACTATTGCAGTGGAATAATAAGAATAACATAAAACAATAAAAGATATTACCTTATTTTAAGCCAGTTTTATTTCATTTTTTGCCTATTACATTAATTTATACATGTTGATTTAAATCAATGATTTTTTTAAATCAAAATCAAGCGATTTAAATCGTGATTTAAATCAGTCTGATTTAAATCAGCCAACCCTGTTCTGTGGCGAGCTTGGCTCTTCCCCGATTGACCCGATCCACCCATGGTGCAGTCATTTAAACGCTGCAGCGTTTACCATATTTTTGGCCGGATTTTACGCAGCTTCTGGAAAACAGAGCGTCATCTTTTAGTGTCGGGTGTATATTTGTTAAAATGTTGTATTTTTCTGTAATTTCGAAGATCAAGTGTAAAAAAAAACAAAGCAGACTCCAATAGATCAAAATTAATAATATATCATTGTAACAATTTTTTCCACTATAAAATATGTTAACGAATTCATCAAAACATGTTTTATTATTCATATATTTCATGACTTTATTATTTTTTTACCAAAATTGTAAACAAAGTTTAACAAAACTATTGGATTATGGTGAGCATAGACAATGCACAGCATGTATGTCTAATTAATAATTAGAATTGTCGTAGAATCCTTATTTTATGGATATGTTGTAATTACTTTAATATGAGTAAGCAGTAATGGCGCTATTGCTAAATAAAGTAGAGAGCTGTTACGATATATTTTAATAAGACTGCCACTGTAGCCCATTGAAAACATTTTACAAAAACATAGGTACATTTTAAGGCGTCAGCTACTGCTTACGGTTTTTTTTTATTTAAATTTCATGTCGCTTCTCTATCAAATGAGACTGCAAGCTGTTATTGTCATATTATGAACAATTCTTATCAACCTGTGCCTGCAGTGGGTTTGTAGGCTGATACTTCAACACTTTCCTTTTTTTTATAGGATAATGGTGACAAACGAGCACACAGTCCACCTGATGGTAAGTGGTTGCTGCGACCCATAGACATCTACATCTATCCTCCACTACAAATCAAAATGCAGATGCGTTGTCACCCGTGAGGACTAAGATGGAATGCCTCATTTCCAGTAAAAAAGGGCCTCCGGCCACCTGCACTCACCAAGCGAAACACAGAGGTAAACCTCTACTTCACGCTGGTATTCTGTGAGGTCCTGGTACCACCCCGGTTCGAGCGGGCCCATCCGTGCGACAGCAAAAGCTGCCGCGTGGCTCTACCACTGTTAAAAGGCTCCTTTTCAACAGGCTTTCGAATCCACTGCCTCAGTTCACCCAAAATTATCTTGCAAACATCATTCGCGGCCTATCATCATCATCATCATCATTATCAATCTGTGAGATTTTTTTTATCTTGATTGATTTACTTACATAAAATGGACGGCAGAGCTACATTTGTTAATGTGCAGGATATAATTGGTAGCCCGATAATTATTAAGACAGCATAGACAAATAAAGGTTAAAAAGAATTATAAAAAATAACGATATAATTTCCTAAAAAACATGCAATTTGTTTTCTCGCAATGTAATAACTTGAGAATACGGAAGGTTGTACTTGTACACTTGTACAACAATCGCGGAAATAAAGCTGACCTTCGCATTTACAATAGAAATACAAAAAGTGTCACGTCCTATTAGTCGAATGTTTTCAAAACATCTTGATTCTTGATCAAAAATTATATGCATTAAGAGGAATTCCTTGGAAAGTTACTTGCACACATAATTCTAAATCAGAATTATGTGTGCAAGTATTTTTCTTATTTATATCTAATTAGAACTAATCTAATTCAACCATTGTAATTCAGAATTATTTGTCCAAATAACTTAATACTCTTTTGACCTGATCGACATAAAAAGAGAAACCTGAAGGCAGCTTATTCTTTTTTATATTTTTTATCTTCTTAATAAGTCATTGATGATCCATAGCGTAAGGACATCAGCCTTTCCCATTGCACTTTAGATAAGGTGTTTTTAGATAAATAGTACGGTTTTGTAAATAATATTTTGGTGCGGAGAATTGTATACGCTGTAGGTATAGTCTAGTCAACAAGTTCAAAAACGTGTTAATTCTTGTTGCCGCTTTTAAAATATGTGCG